CTCCTCTGTTGGGAGAAGGATGGGCAATTTCCTCCTGTGCGATTTACTGCCTCTGAAAACCCACTGGAAGGTCAGCTATGGGTCAGTTCCGACTCAATGGTACTAAACAACAACAACAACAACAACAACACAATAACAACAACTATTGTAAACATGCTAAAAAAATGTTTACATACATCTGTATGTCATCCTTAGGTGGTTAGTAGGGATGGGAAGACAGGTAAAAATGATTAACAGAAAACAGGTCCACATTAAGATAGGTGAAAAGAAAGAAAATCTACAGTAAGGGGATAACTAGATATTGTGGTTATGATAGCTAATGTTATTAAACAAAGTATGCGTGAACAAGTCAATGAAAAACCAATATACTGTGTGAACGTAACATAAAACCCACATATACACATAAAGGTTTTGGGTTTTTTTTAAAAAAAAAAAATCAAAAGGGTAGCATATCCTCAGGTTTAAAGCTCAACAGGCAGGAAGCAGAAAAGATGGAGGGATTCGTGAAGATGAAAATCACAGGAAGGAAGTATTTCAACTAACTTCATTAACCAAAATGTGTGTGACTAGCTGAATGGAGAACAAATTTGTTCTGTAAACTTTCATGTAAATCACAACAAAAGCCAATCACAAGACAACTTCATGTACAAGGAACAGGGAACATTTAGGCTTAGCTTCTCTGAATGTGAGTAGAACAGATGAGAAACCACTTCTCCAGTCGTCATGGCTTTGTCATTCTGCCCCAGGGGTTCTACCATGCTTTAGTTACTGGGCATAGCTATTGTTTACCCTCAAAATAGTTTCCAAAGATACTGAATTTTGTATTTTTTTTAGTGTGTTATAATAAATCTTTAAAATGTAAGGTAGTATAAGTTGGTAACTTTCTGCTATTGTAATCTGGAAGTCTCATATGTTCTATTTTTATATTTAGAAAAACAAAACAAAAAATAATTTTTTAACACAAGTGAAAGTCCCCAAGGGAAAAGATAATTCTGGAAAAGCACTCAACGCAAGTATTTCAGAAGCCAGCAATGGCTCAAAGAAGTGAAAGAAGACAGGGAGGAAAGCAGACTAGCTTGCAGTGTGATTTGACAGTATCATGGGAAGAGGGCAGGGCTATTTTTGGATGCTTGATATTTTTCATGATGGCATCCTGCCCCAAAGCATCTCTAGTAAGATACCTATATGCCACATAAGTTGGTAGTGGAATTAAAATGAAAGATAAAAATACACAAAATCAGTAAGCAGAATTCCAGTTACCTAAGTCTTGTCTCACATACGTTGGACATGTTGTTAGCAGGGGCTAATCCTCAGAAAGGAACATCATGCTTGGAAAGGGGGAGGGTCAGCGAAAGAGAGGATCACCCTTGACAAGACAGACTGACACAGTAACTACAGCAATGAGCTTAAGTGTGTCGGAGATGATGAGGATGACAGGATAGGACAGGGTTCAGATTTGTTGTTCATAGTGTCACTATGAGTCTACTCGACTCGATAGCATCTAACAACAGAGTGGAAAAGGAGTCCTGCTGGTGCCGTGGCTGGTGCTGTGCTGCTAACTGAAAGGTCAGCGTCTGGCACCCACCTGCGCTCTGCAGGAGAGAGGTGTGGTGGTCTGCTTCCACAAGGTGTGATTATGTGAGAGGTCAGTGACTCAGTTCCGATCCCGCGAGCCCATGCACAGAAGAACACACACTGACTTCTCGTCCTGTGGGGGAACTTCACCCTTGTTAGCAACAACGCATGAGGCATTGCTGAGTTTCTACATCAACCCATCTTGTTGAGGGTTTTCCTTTCTCACTGATCTCATACTTTACACCACACATGACGTCCGTCTCTAGAGACTGGTCCCACCTGATCACAGGTTGCAAGTAAGTTAGACCAAGTCTTGCCACTTTTGGTTATAGAGATTACAGACTTGGAAGCCCATGGGGCAGTTCCTAGGGAGCATAGGTAAATTGGAATTACCCTGAGGACAATGAATTTGGCTGGGTTTTAGGTTGGTTGTTTTTTTTAACTGAGAAAAGAAGCATCCACAGTTTAGTTAAGACATGTTTTTTTTTTAATTTTTTTTTAATTATTATTTTATTCTTGTGTGTGTGTGTGTGTGTACCGTCAAATTGGATCTGACTGGTACAGGAGGAGATTGTCCCTCCTTTTCCCGGCAGAGCATCTGGTGGATTTGAACCATGCACCTCTGGGATTGCAGTGCAGTTTCTTGCCACTAGGCCACCAGAGCTCCCCTAGTTAAGACATGTTTAATATTAATGTATCTATGCTGTGTTGTGTTACAGAGTTGTAACAGACTCATAGATGATCCTCCAGCGAGTTTTCAGAGGCAGTTAATTGCATGGGAGGAGACTGTCCATCCTTCTCCTGTGGAGCAGCTAGTGGCCTAGAACCATATGACTTCAGGATTGCAGCACAGCTTCTTGCCACTAGGCCACAGTAATATACATATAATACCAGATTTTACCTACAGATACTAAGTTAAGGAGCTCTGGTGGTGTAGCCTCCATTAAGCCAAAGGCTGTGCTTCTCTGGCAGTTCGGGTCCATCAGGGATTCGAATCTCATTCCACAGGAGAAAAAGGAGCAGTTTCCTCCTGTGCAAATTACAGCCTTAGAAACTCAACAGAGCATCAGCTATGAGTTGGAATCAATTCAACAGTAATGACCTTTGAACTTGAGAAATACAGTGTTATGCTAACGTCGAGTCTTCACACACACACATTCACCAAATGCCCGCATAAAGAGAAAATTTAGGAAAGTATATATATAAAGAACTAGTTGGACTGAAAGACATTTTCTTTGAAAATGGAGATCATTCATTATTAATACTAGAAAAACCATTTTTCTCTAATAATAGTTGTCTCTGTTGTTAGCCCAGTTGTACTGGAGACAAAGGTAGGCACATCCAACTAATCCATCTAACTTAAAGAGCTTTAGCTACAGAGCTGGGTCCAGGAAGGCAGGACTGGGCTGGTCTGGCCAAGAGTAGCCCCTAGATGGTGTGGACCAGCTAGCTGTCCACAGGTGCCCTTAATAGAGTAGTCAGTAATTTTTGGTGTAGTATGCTGTGAAAGATGTGTTGAGCTAGATTCCTTTCTTGGAAATTTGAAACAGAAGACTAGGAAAAAATAGAAAAATGTCAATTGGCAACAGAAGACTTAGTAGGTGCATTGCATGAGTGAGTTAGGGTTCTGATATCACACAGAACTACAACCCTTGCTCTTTCTGCAGAATGATCTGATAATTATTTGTCTGTCCTAAGGGAGCACTGGTGGTCTAGTGATAAGAAAATGCACTGCAATCCCTTAAGCATGCACTTCAAATTTACCAGCTGCTCCATGGGAGAAGGATGGACAGTCTCCTCCCATGCTATTCACTGCCTCTGAAAACCCGCTGGAGGGTCAGCTATGGGTTGGTTCTGACACAACAACAACATCCTAAGAAATCAAAACTAAGGTGAGCCAGATCCAAGTCATAGTATTTTCAATTGCTTCCTATGTATCTGAAAGTGGAACAGTGAATATGGATTACAGAAGAAGAATCGATGTCTTATTAGAGTTGTGGTGTTGGAAAAGTACTGAATGAACTCTTGTCCTGAACGGACATGGACTGTCAAAAGAATAAGCAAATCTGTCTTGGAGAAAGTGCAGCCAGGGTGCTTCTGGGAGGCAAGGATGGTGAAACTTCATCTCACATACTTTGGGCATGTTGCCAGGAGCCAGTCCTTGGAAGAACACATCATACTGGGAAAGGTGGAGGGTCAGAGAAAGAGAAGACAACCCTCTACATGATGAACTGACAGTGACAGAAACGATGGGCTTGAGCCTGTGAGAGGTCATGAGGATGGCACTGAACAAGGCACGGCTTAGGTCTGTTGTTCAAGGGGTCAGTGTAAATTGTGCCAACTTGATGACATCTAACAACAAAAGCAACAACAACCATATTCTAAAGAGAGAACTAGTTAGCTTTCTCTAATGTCTTGTGTATGTAAACTTGAAACAAATCTGTTACTTGAGACTTCTCTCTCTCTCTCTCTCACACACACACACACACACAATGCTTTTTTAACATTTTAAGGTATTTTTACAAATATACCATACTTCTTGTTGTTGTGTACTGTCAAGTCAGAACTGACCCACAGCTGAACCTTCCAGGGTTTTTTTTCAGAGGCAGTAAATTGGACAGGAGTTGCTCCTGGGAGCAACTGGTGTAGTCAAACCATGTACTTTTGTACTGGCAGTGCGATTCCTTACCAGTAAGTGACCAGAGCTCTCATACCACACTCAGAACTTTGTAAATTTATGTGGGATAAGACTATCCATTTTACTTAGGAGAACACTGATGCAGAGAATGGTCAATAATTTCTTTAGGTGACGTAACTTCTTAATGGCACAATAATGATAATATAAATTAGATACCTATATTTTCCTAATAAAGACATGTTGCTTTGGGAAAATCTGCTGTCAAAGACCTCTCCAATGTGCTAAAATGCACCTGATCTCAACCATGGTATTTTCAATTGCTTCCTATGCACCTGAAAGTTGGATGATGAGTAAGAGGACAGCAGAAGAATAATCAGGGTCTTTGAATCATGGTGTTGGCAAAGGGTACTGACCATCCCACAGAACAAATAAGTCTGTCTTGGGGAAAGTACAATCAGGGATGATGAAACTTCATCTCACATACTTTGGGCATGTTTTCCTTAGAAAAGGACATCATGTTGGGGAAACTAGAGAGTCAGAAAAAGAGAGAAAGACTCTCAACAAGACGGGATGACACAGTGACTGTAACAACAAGCCTGAATACAGCAAAGATGGGGAGATGGCGCAGGATAGGGCAAGGTTGAAATCCATTGTTCACAGGTTTGCTATGAGTTGTAGTCACCCGATGACATCTAACAACAACATTTTCCTGTATAGTTCTTTCTTTTCAAATATCAGCTACATCAAGAAGAGTATTTTAAGGCAGAAAAATGAGTGTCTTTCTTACCTGTCTGCTGGATGGTAGTTATTGCCTGGGCATTACACTGTAGCTGTAACATGTGTCTGAGCATTGCCACTTCCCAGATACGCCACTCTGGAGACAACACAGGAGCCACTGCTGCGTTTGGCTTGGAGGACCTCAGAGCTGGTACGGGGGCCCATAAACGGGCTGTGTCTAGCTGCCTGCACAATGCAGCAACACTAAGAGCACAGAGGAATTTGTATTCGGGACTATGGTTTTCTGTATGAGGTAGAAGGTTGAAGACAGCATAATAATTATTTTCATATTTTCCATGAACATCACATCCAGGAATTGAGGTCTCAGCTATTTTACCATTATCCTCATTCTCCCCTAGCTCACAGTTGAGTGTTTGGACCTTATTCTCACTTTCAGGTAAACAGATGTTCTTGTTACTAATCTCACCACAGAGCTTTGTTATGACTTCACCAGCATCTTCAAACCTGGCTAAGAGAGTTGATCTCAAGGCAACGTGACAAAAGACACCCAGTGTGAGAAGCAGCCCTCCGTGGGGACACTCCACACTGTGGTAGAGCTCCCAGGCCTGCTGCATACATTCATAGCTGCAGTATTTAGCATAGCTGCACTGATCGCAGGGCACCAAGGCCAAAGTGTGCTTCAAACATCGGTGACAGTGAAGGTCCCCATTGGCGGCTCTGGTGTTCTGCCTGCTCTCCAGGCCAGGGTCTGGCAGTGGCTTTTCTCCTGGGTTAAGGACGCTCACAAAAGCCTCCTCCTTCACTAGGAGCTCCCCTGGCAGAATATCTCCTGTGGCAATCAGACACCGGCCTTTGAACGGGTCCATACGTAAGGTGACAGAAGGTGATGTGCTGGGAATTCGTTCATTCTCTTCCATAAGGTCCATCTCCTTAAAAGTCTTTGTTAGGGCTTCTGGGAAGGTTTCTGAGAGATTCTCCTTTTCTTGAATCTTCATTTTCAGACGATGTAGGTTTCTCTGCAGAACCTCCAAGTGGGAAGCTGCTAGTGTCGCTTTGGCAGTGCAGATACTTTCAAGATCACTCACGGTCTGGTTTGCTTCCTGTAGCCTCCCCAGGGTCACCAGACACTCGGCTTTACGCAACGTCATCTTGGGTTGCAGTCTTTCTGGATAACCGTGCTTCTGTGCTCTACTGATGTCTTCCAGACATGTCTGAAAACAGAAAAGAAAGCCCAAATGAGTCTTGGTCTCAAGAAACCCTCAAGTGAGTCTGCAAGTCTACTGAAAATCTCTACAAAAAATAGACAAAGGACAAAAATATGCAAGCAAGTAAAAGATTACTAAAAATGGAGAACTGTTATTACATGCTTCTTTAAGTCATATTCTACCCACTGTCATCTTTTTTTTTTTAATTTTTTTGTTAAATTATTTTTGTTTGTGCGTGTACCGTCAAATCAGATCTGACTGGTACAGGAGGATTGTCCCTCCCTCCTTCCCCGGCAGAGCATCCCCATTGTCATCTTTTAGGGAGCTCTGGTGCCTAGTGATAAGGAGTTGTGCTGCCAACCTGAAGTCATGCAGTTCGAATCCACCAGCTGCTCCACTGGAAAAAAATGGGACATCTCTGAAATCCTGGTGGAGGGCAAGCTATGACTTTGTTTACTGGTATACAACAACAACAACAACAACAACAACAATGTGCAATCAACAATTAAGTGACTAACAATACTTATTGAAGAAATTACGTTTACTTGTATTACTAAAAAATTTCTATTTTTAAAGAAAAAGAGTCTTAGAGATAGAAATATAATATGGAGGGGAGCTCAGGCAGCCTAGTGGCAAGAAGCTGCATTGCAATCCCAGAGGTACGTGGTTCAATCTCCTCCTGTACAAGTCAGATCTGATTTGATGGCACAGGCGCACACACACTCTCTCTCTCTCATATGATGATGAAGAAAGCCGACTCTGAAACCAAACAAATACTGACTCTGCTTCTTACTAGCTATAAGAATCTTGAATAAGTTAATGGAATTTCCCGTGTTTTAGTTTTCTCGTCTGAAAAGTAAGTATGACATTATCTCAGAGAGTTGTTTTAAGGATAAAATGGGACTATAGAGCTGAAGTGTTGAAGACAATGCTGGGAACATCAGAAGTACTCAATAAATGGTAGTCATTATTATCAGAAGAGGAACAGAAATAACTAATTTAGGGAAGCTGTAAAGGCATAAAGGTTTCTGCACCTTCTTCCTCTGACTGTCTCTTTAGCAGTCTAGGTCTTTATTGCTTAGGGCCTAGAGTTAGATTCTAGCTTTCTCTTTGAGTCTTTTTCTTGTTATTATTACTGTGATTGTAACAAATGTTTACAGAAAAGTTGTATTTTCATTCACTTATTATTTCACACTTTCCTCCCTATCCTTCTCCCAGTTTACTTTTTCTCTTTGAGTCTTAAGAACATAATAATTTGAATATCAATAAAATTCCAGAATGGATGTAACATAATCACCCTTTAGAGTTTGCTTGCTAATCTATTACAAATCTGAGGAGCCTCAGGGTTACCGTCTTAAAACAAAAATCTAACTATAATTATGCCCTGGGTTAAACAAATCCATAATTAGGGGGATGAAAAGAAAGGTCCTCAAAGAAAATTCAGCTTCTCATGGACATGCAGAGGCCTTTCAGTGTGCCTTCTACTTCCTGAGGGACCTCTGGTCCACAGGGATATGCTGCTAACATATGGCCAAGCCTCTCTGGTGGTTCAAATCCACCAACAGCTATTCAGGTGAAAGATGGGTAATCTCCTCTCACATGATTTACAGCCTTAGAAACCCAATGGAGAGTCAGCTATGAGTTAGTCTCCACTCAAGGGTAATAGGATGTGGGATATTTACTTTCTTATTAAGAAAAACTATACTGAAGGTAGCATATATTATTACAAGAATATTCTTGAACATACTTTCCTCGTTTGAAAGAAAGACCAAGAAAATAGTTGGCAAACATTTGAAACATGGTCTATTATTATCAACATAGCTTGCAATCGATCTTTACACTGAGAACTGATGATCTAGTTGATAAAGTCCATGGCTCTCTGGAATGAACCACAATTCTTTCTTGTAAATAAACACAATCCTAAATGATTACCTGTGACAGGTAAGATGAATCAGGAGAAAGAACAGCTTGGATGGGTATCTTAGGTCGAAATGTGTTTCCCTAAAGAAGGTGTCAACTTGGCTAGGTCATGATGATACCCAGTACCACAGGGTGTTCTCCATTTATCCTCCACTTTGTGATGTGTTGTAACTCCTAATTGTCCTATGTTAATGAAGCAAGTGTATCTTTGAGTCACAGTCTTAGAAGAGAACATGACTCAAGTACTAGCCTTACTCTAGTAACCACTCTCATTCAAACACTAATGTTACATCTCTACCCATCACATCCTTGTTAGAGTCATTCTTTTTATTTCAAAAGAGACAAAAGGAGAAAGAAGTGAGCAAAGAGAAAGAATTTAACAACTACCAGAAAGAAGAACCAGCAGGAAAGTGTGTCTTTTAGATTCAGGATCCTTGTGCTGAGAATCTCCTAGATCCAGGAGAAGACTGAGACCAAGATAAAGGGTGGTTCCACAGAACACCTTCCACTAGAAATTGCCAGAGAAAAATGTCTTTCTCTAAAGCTAGCATTTTGACTTCAGACTTAGAGCTTCCCAAACAGTGAAAGAATAAATTTGTTTGGTAAAGGCATTCATTTGTGAGATTGCTATTCCAGCCACTTCCAATCCAATTACCTGCAGCATGGCCTGATTTTAGTGTTATAATGTGGAAGTAGAGATGAAGGCCTATTCCTGGTCTAGATCTCCAGTTACTCCTCTCCATAATCTAATAGTACCAGGGAAAGCAATACTTACTTCATACTGCTTCAAGTGGAAGAGGGCTGCAGAGCGGTTGGCATAACATAGTGAGATGTCCTCAGTGTTAGGTCTTGATTGTGATATTCCCTGAAAAACAATGGTTGGGTTAAAGGAAAAAGGTACTTTTTTTTCAGGTAACAGGGGCTCTATTACTAAAGACTGTAGGAAAATGTAAAAGTTATTGAGCTTCTTCATTTTTAACTCCTTAGAGGGCCTCGTGAGGAAATAAGTATTTGAAGCACTTTGAAGACAAAGTATTAGGAGAATATCACAAACAATAATGAAAGTAAATGAAAAACTGAGGAATATACAAATGGCACAAATAAGAATTCACAACAGAAGAAACAAACGGATAATCAATGTATGGAAAGTAAACTGGTAATTAAGATATGGATAGTGAAATAAATGAAAACTGCAGCACAAAAGAGATATTTTTTCCTTATTATTAAAGAGGCAAAGATTAATTATAAAAGTGGTGTCACTAGAGAAAAGATGGGAATGACTCATTAAAAAGTATTGGGACAATTTGTACACCAATGCTCATAGCACCGTTATTCACCATTGCAAGAACATGGGAACACACCAAATGCCCAACCACAATCTAATGGAGTGAGAAACTGTGGTACATTCACATGATGGAATACTATGCAGCACTGAGGAGCAATGATTTCGAAGATTAATGCATAACTTGGGAGAGACTGGAAAGTCTTATGTGGAATGAACTAAGTCTTATAAGGACAAAATACTGCATAAGACCATTATTGCAAAAATAGAAGAATAACTAGTAAAATGTGTCTGGGGGTTTTGGAGGGAAGAGGTGGGAGCAGAGACGTGAGGATGGGCAGGAAGGAAATCACAGGGTCACACAATTTGGTGAGTAGATGGAGAGGGTACAGGAAATGGGAAAGATCCAGCAGGGACCTAAAAAGACCAGTAATGGTGGGCATAATTCAATGGTGGTAAATTTTGTAAACATAATGTATGGGAATGACTATAAAATACAATGTGAATGAAGGAAATTGTAAAACACAATGTATACAAATTTTGTATGCAAACCAATATAAAATAATTTTTTAAAAAGTATTGGGATAAGTAAATGTTGTTGTTGTTGTTATGTGCCATCGAGTCGCTTGCGACTCATAGCGACCCTATGTACAACAGCCCTAAACTCCGCTCTGTCCTGTGCCAATTGCACTGTCTCTGACACTCCCATCCCGATTATCCCAGTCACTGAATCAATCCACCTCATAGAGGGCCTTCACCTCCTAAGCCGTCCCTCAACCCTACCAAGCATAATGTCCCTCTCAAAAGACCAGTCCCTCCTCACAACATGTCCAAAGTATGTTAGATGGAGCCTCAGAATCCTTGCCTCCAAGGAGCCACTCGGTTTAACCATTTCCAGGACAAATCTGTTTGTTTTCCTAGCAGTCCATGGTATTCTCAATACTCTTCTCCAGCACCACAGCTCAAAGGCATCAACTCTCCTTCTATCCTCCTTGGTCATTGTCCAACTCTCTGATGTATAACAAGTGATTGCGAAGACCATGGCCTGTATCAGATGCACCTTAGTCTCTAGAGAGACACCATTGCTCTTCAGTACTTTGGAGAGGTCCCTAACAGCAGACTTTCCCAAGGCAATGCACCTTTTAATTTCCTGGCTGCTGGTGCCTGTTGACTGTGGAGCCAAACAAACTAAAGCTGTGTACAATCTCAATCTCTTCACCATCCATCCTGATGCTGCCAATTGGTCCAGTGGTGAGAATCTTTGTCTTCTTGACATTGAGCCTCAATCCATATTGTAGGTTGCAGTCCTTGACCCTCTGCAGCAGACACTTCGGGTCCTCTTCAGTTTCAGCAAGCAGGGTTGTGTCATCTGCATAACGCAGGTTGTTGATAAATCGTCCACCAATCTTGACCCCACATTTCTCCACATAGAGCCCAGCCTCCCGGATAATCTGTTCTGCATATAGGTTGAAAAGGTATTGGGATAAGTAAATAGCTACTGAGAAAAACCAAAAAGGTGACTAAATAAAAAACCCTTCATGAGGATAAACTCCAGGTGGATCAAAGTCTGAATATAGACAATGAAACTAGAAGAAGGAGCTCTCATGACATAGTCTGTAAGGAACTGCACTAACATACCGGTGGCACCTCTCTACTGGTTCAAATCCATAAGCAGCTCCTAGGGGCAAAGGTGAGCAATTTCCTCCTGTGAAATTTGTTGTTGTTAGGTGTCATGGAGGTATGTTCATAGTGACCCTATGAACAACAGATCTCAACCCTGACCTATCCTGTGCCATCCTCATCAACTCTGACATACTCAAACCCATTGCTGCAGTTACTGTGTCAATCCACCTTGTTGTGAGTCTTTCTCCCTTTTGCTAACTCTCCACCTTCCCAAGCATGATGTCCCCTTCCAAGGAATAGCATCTCCTAGCAATATGCCCAAAATATGGGAGATGAAATTTCACCATTCTTGCCTCCAAGAGCATTCTGGCTGCACTTTTTCCAAGGAAAATTTGTTGGAGGGTTAGCCTTCAGTTGGTTTCAGCACAGTAAAGAGTAATGTAATGAGAGTTCAAATACAGGACAGCCCTCCCCAAACCTCCAGGACCCCGAAATGCTGTCAGAAGGAATTATTTTTAAACTATGAAAATTCTAAAAAAAAGCCTAAAAAAATTAATAAATTTGACCACATAAGTTTGGTAGAAAACTAACAATGAACTAGAAAAAGATTTGTAATTCTCATCACATTTGTCTTTTTAACTCCATCGCCAGAGCATCTACAAATCAGTAAGATGACTACTAATAACCCAGTAGGAAAATAAGCAAAGGCAATGACTAGAAACCTTAGATGGGAAATATTCGTAAACATATGGAAACTTCTCAGCTCCATTCATAATCAGCTAAACACAAATTAAAACTCTATGGAGATGCCATTTTTAACCCGATAAGTTGGCAAATAAACAAATAAAATTGATAGCATGCTGATTTGGCAAAGGGGTAAGATAATGGGAAGTGTCATATGTTGCTAGTCGGAGTGTAAATTAGGCATGTGATTAAGGAGGGATGCTTAGTAATATGTATCAAAATTGTATATGTTTATTGACTCAGCAATTCATCTGTTAGGAATTTATTTTAAAGATAAGATAATTTATTCTGCAGATATGAACAAAATGACATATTTTAAGTTTCTCTCCACAAAATTGTTTGCAATAGCAAAACATAGGAAATAATCTAACCGTTAATCAATAGGGCACTGGTTAAATAAGTGGCAATACGTCCACATAATGAAGTACCATGTAGCCATAAAAATCCATGAGGAAGCTCTTCATGTACTGAAGTGGAATGATCTTCAAGATTATTAAGTGAAAAGAACATGGTGCAAAACATTGTGAAAAGAACATTAGCCTATACATAAAGCTTGTGTTTATGAGAAGATTATTTATACTTATTAAACACACACAAAGTCTCACTGGATGGATACATTTAACATTCTGGGGATGAGAAAGAGACTAGGTGGCTAGGTAGACAGGGGATGTAGACTTCATTGTATACTCTGGTAGTTTTTTAATTCTAACCATATAAAAGATTTATTTTTCTTATTAAAAAAACAGAACTATAACTATGAATAGTAATATCACCATAATAATCAGTATTTGCTCAATATATGGAGAAATGAACAGTGAGTCACAGTTGACTCAATGGCATATAACAACTACAACAATAGTAGTTGGATAGACGAATGTTAAAAAATTTTTTCTGGAGAACAATTGAGCATAGAGTACCAAAAACCTTAAAACATACTCCCACTGACTCAACAACGGCCTGGTTGGGAATCTACTGTAAGGAAATAATTAGATGTGTTAAAACATTTCCAGAGAAAGATGCTCACTGCAGCACTATGATACCAATTCGCCAACATTCCCCAACCCCAAAGTTCCCATTACTGTGCAGTTAATTTAGACTCATAAAGACCTGACAGGACAGATTAGAACTTCCCACAGGGTTTCCAATGTTGAAATATTTATATAAGCATACAGTTACGTCTTTTCCCCATGAAACAACTGGTGGGTTCAAACCATTGACCTTCCAGTTACCAGTCAAATGTTTTAACCATTGTGCCACCAGAATTCCTTTCACCAACACTGGGCAATGTTAAAACAAATACAGTATTTCTCTGTAATAGAACATTAAGCCACTCGAAAAACTTCATGTTCTAGTAGGAAACTTTTAAACATGAGGAAATGGTCACAATAAATTGTTGAGGGAGAAAAACAGGTTACAAAATAGTTTAAATGTAGCATTATCCCAATTTTGTGAAAGAAAAACATATTTTTAGAGGAAAAAGTCTGACTGGATGGACAGAAACAAAAATGTTACAGTGTTTCTCACTAGTTACAGGATTTTTCCCCCCTGGGCTCTTTATGCTTCCCTACATTTTCCAAGTAAACATAGATTATTTTTATAATAAAACAAAACTAATAAATAATAATTTTAAAAAGAAAAAAAACCCCAGCAGCTTGACATGAAATTATAAAGTACCATAATAATCAAAACACTAGCTTCATGAAAGAGGAAGTCTCCTCTCCATCCGCAGCCACGGCAGATCTTTAAGTTTTTTTAAGTTTCTTTAAGTTTGACTTCATTCTTTATATTACCTGTTTTTCTTGACTTTCCCACGTGATTATATTTATGATGCATACAGTCAAAGAGATTAGCACTGAAAAAAAGAACTATTAAGCCATTTATCACTGGATTATTACAATTAATGGATTTTAATCCTTCAGCAATCACTAAAGCTTACATTATTTAGTCAAATACTTTGTTGTAACACTACAAAGCAGGGATTCTATCAGCTATAGAAGCTAATGTTAGAGGTCTGATAGTTTTAATCAAATTTCTACTCATTTCTAAATGGAAACATTTTTTTATGTTGAGGAACAGACCAAGTTCAAGGGATTGGTACAGTCTCTCTTGGGAAATCTTGTTCTATTTCCTACTATAGGAGCAGGGGAATAAGAATAACAATATTAAAAGCATAATTCCTCCTAAAAACCCAGCTAATGGTTATAGTCTCATAATAAATATTTATTGACTGTCACTCTTATTATAATATAAAAATTCTTAAGTGAAATCCAGCTACTCCACAGACAATGGTGTTGGTGAAGTGTACTGAATATGCCCTGGACTGTCGAAGGAACAAACAAGTCTTTCCTCGAGGCAGTGTAACCAGGATGCTCCTTAGGGGCAAGGATTGTGAAACTATGGAAACACTGTGAAGAGGGGCCAGTCCTTGGAAAAAGACTTCCTGCTGGAAAAGGTGGAGCATCAGAGAAAAGAGAGGAAGTCCCTCAACAAGATGGCCTGACACTGTGACTGTAACAATGGCCTTGAGATATCAGAGATTGTGAGGATGGTGCAGGATAGGGAAAGGCTCAGATGTGTTGTTCACAGGGTCGTTTCTAGTTGTAGTTGACTTGATGGCATATAACAACAATGGCAACAACATAGACAATGAACCCCTTTTACTTTCTGAATCTAAGTCATACTAGCTGTAAGTTAACACTGTGGCTAACCAAGAACTAGTTGTTCTGTAAATCAGGACTAGCAAACGAATAGCTTCATAATTCATTCAGACAGCCATGGCATAAAAGTCAATAAAACCACACAGACATAAACAATAGGGCCGTAAGTACAATAACCTTTTGTTAAAGGCATCTGTAGGAATAGGGGAATAGAAGTTCAGGACATAGAGAATAATACAAATGACTCTATTTTTAAGACTATAACCAATAGCAGAATGCTGCTAGACTTTCTTTTCCAAGCCCAAACCACAAATTACAGACAAAGCTAACATGGCTACAAACTTCAGTAACATGGCTTACTCTTCTGAAGAAATAAGCATCGATTTCTAAGTTGTTGACATAGCTCCTCCTGCTGGACCATGAGTTGTCTTACCTTAGAGTACAACACTGCTGCTCCCAAATAATCCTTCTTTTGAAATTTCTTGTTTCCTTCTTCTTTGTAGAAAAGTGAAGCATTGGGGTCCTTCTCCACTACATAATCTCTAGAAAGTCTTTTTAAAAGTATCTCATCTTCAGGTCTTCATGAAGGAAAAAGAAAAAAGAAGCAAAAGAATTGAAGTCAAGCACAGTCTTGTTATTTCAAAGAAAGTGACTAATAAAAACACCTGATAACCATCCCAGAACTTCAAAGAACCCCATACAGGACAGACCCCAAAAGAGAGTCACCAAGAGATATCAAAATTAAACTTTCTAAAACACAGGACAAGGAAGAAATCCCAGCAGTGGGTCAAGAAAAACTAAATGTTACCTATAAAAATCAACCAATGAATATGACTAAGTTCTGATTTCTCAGCAGAAACTATGCATGTAAGAAATCAGTAGTCTGGCATATATAAAATCCTGAAAGGAAAAAATTGCCAATCAAGAATTAGATACCCAGCAAAACTGTCCTCAAATATTGTAAGACAGAATTAAAGCATTTCCACATAAAGAGACATTAATAGAATATGAAAAACAGAAGCTATTCTCATAAGAGATGCTAAAAGTGTCCTTTTCACTCTTTGGAGTTTTTTGACACACATATGGATTTGATCTTTAAAAGCCCCATGTATTAATTTTATCATCTCCTGTTTGTGGGATTTTGGTTATCTTTAAAAATCTATTTATGCCATAAATTTGTTGTTTTCTTCTGATGATCTTTCCCCCCCTCATGTTCTTTTCTTAAAATTTATTTATTTTAATGAAAGTTTACAGAGACTTAAGATTTCCAGTCATTCATTGTTGCCCTCTCAGATCTACATTAAGTTGGTTTTGCTTTAAGGTGTGAGGTGTGGATTTTATTTCCGTTTTCTGCATATGGATGTTCAATTTTGCCAGTACTATCTGTTAAAGAGGCTTCCCCACTTAAGTGATTTTGGGTCAGTGTCAAAGATCAGTTAACCATAGGAGATGGGTTGATTTCTGGGTTCTTGATTCTGTTCAGTTGATCTAAGTGTCTGGTACTATGCTAGTACCATGCTGTGACTGTGCCCCAGTACTGTGACTGTGTAGTAGGTTTTGAGGTCAGGGAGTGCAATAATCCCTATTTTGTTTTTTCTTTTTCAGAAGCCCTTATTTGGGGAGGTCTCTTTCCTTTCCAAAAAAGTTGGAAATTGCCTTTTCCATCTCATTGAGAACGACATCAGTATCTGTATTGAGATTGCACTGAACTAGTAGATTACTTTTGGCAGAATTGTAATTTTCATGATTGTTGCAGAATGTTGGGGAGGAAGGGAAGGCCTCTGGCCAGGATGGGTAGCCTGAGCTCCAGACAGGTGCAAGCCTCCCAACGGCCTTTAATACAACATAGAGAAAGCTCCCCAGTGTTTGGCTGTACCAGCTCGAGAAAGCTTGCCACCTGGGAAGACGGCTGTTTGTTGAGCTGGGAGTGATCTGCATGAGGCTGAGGTTCTCCTGACCAATTCACATGTCCCATGTCTGTAAGCCCACCCTATTCTGTCTTCCTGTGTATATAAGTGCAGTGCTTAGCCTAATAAAGTTGAGCTGGATTGACTCTGATCCTCTCCCGGAGTGGCGTCTCTGTCATGCTTACTTGTATCAGGTTGTTGCTGTTAAGTTGATGATGGACTGACAGCGACACATGATATTGAGTCTTCCCATCCATGAACATAGTATATTCTTCCATTTCTCTAGCTCTCATTTTGTTTCTTGTAGTAGTGCTTTATAATTTTCATTATATAGGTCTTCTGATCTCTAGTTATATTCATTCCTATATATTTCCTCTTGTGGTTTGCTATTGTAATTGGTATTTTTTTCTTATTTTATTTGTTCTCTTTAGAATCTGACATCTAAAATTTATATAACACTCAAATGCATCAACAAGAAAAAGACATACAACTCAATCACAAAATGGGCAGAAAATATGAATAGATGTTTCACCAAAGAAGAAAGACAGATGGCCAACCATGACATGAATATTTCCTTAAAATTACTAGTTATTAGAGAGATGCAAATCAAAACAACAAAGAGATATCATCTCACTCTGCAACAACAGCAAAGTTCAATAGGACAACAAACAAATAGTGAGGAGGATGTGGAGAAATTAGAACTGTCATGTACTGCCGGTAGGAATGTAAAATGGTAAAATCATGAGGGGAGGCAGTCTGGTGCATCATCAAATAGTAGAAAATAGAATTATCATTTGACCACTACGGAGAATATACCCCAAAGAAATCAGAGCTGTGACACAAACAGATGTATGTACACCCATGTTTATTCCAGCATTATTCACAATAGCAAAGTGTCCAGCAACAACTGAACGGGCAGAGAAACTGTGGCACATTCACACCATGGAGTAGTATGCCATAGTGAAAAATAAAACCTGAAAACCAATAAACTCATGAAACACTATATAACATGGATGAGCCTGGAAAATGTCATGCTGTGTGAAATACCTCAGTGACAAAAGGACAAATACTGCACAAGGCCATTATTGCAGCAATAGGATGAATGGGGGAGAGGAGGAGCAGAAAAATAATAGAATGCATGGTGCTGGAATAGGTAAAGGGAAAGATAATCTAGAAGGGATGGATGATTAGACATTATTGCATGGCAACTAACAAACAGGATAAGCATTACAGAGTGAATTAAAGATGAAAGAATGAATGAAAGAAACCAATCTTTTTATAAATTTTCACTAAAATCACAATTAAAAAGAAAAGACACTTAAGAATATCACCTGAACACGCTACCTCGATCCTCCTCATCCCCTTCTAGTAAGAAAAGGAATTCTCAAAAACAAAGTAAGTGTACAAGACTGAAAACAGAGAACCAGAACTATCAATTTAGCAAAATATAAAGAGGGAATAAATGGAATAGTCTTAGAGCTTCTAAGTGGAAAGGAACTGAAGAGGATATTGACAGAAAAGACTGCTTAAAATCTAGGAAGGTACAAGTAAGCCACAGGGAAACTACAATGATAGTGAATAAACCTATTTCAAAATCTAAAAGAAGAGAAAAGAAAATTATAAGGATTTAATAAACAAAAAAAGGGAGTTTTGGGGGTGTAGTCCACAGTGAGTTGTACTGTTAATCTGAATCCTCCAGCGGCACCAATGGAGAAAGATGGACACTCTTTTCCCACTGAAGTTGACAGCCCTGGAACCTGTTGCAGGGCTGCAATGAGTTGAAAGCGACTCCACAGCAGTCAGCAGAGTAAACACAAAAGCAGAAACATTGAAGAAAATCCAGTAACAATATGAACTTAACATGGAAAAATGCATGGACTAAAGAAATCAACAGTCCACAAGGAAAAACAGGAAAGAATGACAGCAGTAAATTCCTGTCAATGATTACACTGAATGTAAATAGTTTAAATGCACCAGCCAAGATAGAGAGAGTGGTGGAATAGATAAGAAAGTAGGACCCATCAATCTGCTGCTGCCAACAGCCTGATCTTAGACACAGAGATAAAAAATAAATTAAAAACTCACAGGATGGGAAAAAAAGATATCAAGTCAACAGGAATCTCTAAAAAAAGCATGAGTAGCAATATTAATTTCTATTAATATATATTTTAAGTCAAAACCAGCACAAGGCATAAGGAAGGACATTATATAATGAGTAGAGATCTAGCAAGATGATATAACCTCAACACAGACACACACACCCTCCAATGAAACACAAAGTAACATTAATAGAATTGGAAAGAGATATATACATAATTGTACAAGAATAAGAAGAGATTTCAACACATCATTTTAAAAAATGATTAAAATAAAGGCTGTTTCATCAAAAAGTTTATGTTTCCAAGAAGGAACATGTCATTTTCCATTGAAAGGGTAGGGTAGGAGGGATATACCATTGGTGTATTCCTGAGGAAAGACCATATCTTTCTGAAAGGAGAGAAATGAAGAACCAACACACCAATTTTGATGCAAGCTAGAACTACTAAAAAGAAATTAAACAACTATACAAAAGATCTCAATTACATAATCAATCTTATAGACATACAGAGAATTGTGAAAGGAGCAGATACAACATGGGGATGGCAGAATCTGACTTCTGCCCAGTTCATAAAGGGAAACTATCTCCATCAATAACATCCACAGGACCAAACAAACAGCTGCATAGTCAGTCATGCCATCCCACATGCTCCTGCACCCATTTTTACCAATCATTGGGTCTGATGTTTGTTGCAAGACTCACAGACTTTATTCACAGTTGTGGAGTTTATTAAGGAAATAGGCTGGAGAGTGGAGGAGGCAAACTTGCATTCAAGTTGACTCTCTCAAGGCACAATTTTTCAGTTAGTTAAAGGCCAGGTTCAATTCAATAGCACAAATTAAAGAAGCCTCTGGTTTCTTCAATCATGAAATAAACTTTATATGAGGAGTTATAGGTCAGCATTTCCTTCAATCAACCAGCAAGCAAAACCTGTATCAGTGGTCTTTAACTCAGAGCAGTGACAATTCAGCTTTTTTGTTCAATCATCTAGCAAGGAAAACCTTAACTGTGGCCTTTATCTCCAGGGTTTCTCTGGTTAAACCTTGCCACAATCTCTTCACCATTGTCACTGCTGTCTTATAGTGTGGAAAGCACTTTCTTTATTGGTCCCACAGCTATTAATGATTTGCATGTGTCTGCAGTTAAGGTAGCTGGAGAACATGGTCCCTCAAAAGGGACTAATGAAATGGCTAAAAATGTCAATTTTCAAGGATTCTGATATCACAAGAATACTCCACTCAAAACCAGCCCCACTGCCCCTGGAACATTCTAGAGAGTTGCTGAAATGTAGATAACATAAAAAGCTTCATTAAGTGTAAAAACAATGAAATAATACTGTCTTCTCAGATCACAATGCTATAAAATCAGTAACAGGAAGATGGGGGGATCAACTATACAGAAACTGAATAACATCCTATTGCAAAACTACTGGGCAATAGAAGAAATAGAAATGGAAATAAAAAAAATTCTTAGAAGCAAATAAGAATGAAAATATAACATATTAAAAACTTGGGGACAAAGCAAAAGTAATGCTGTGAGGACAATTTATAGCAATTGATGCACATTGTTGTTG